ACTCCTTTCTACTTTGAGAATTCTAATTATATGAATATAAGTTTCTTGGTTTTGATGCAGTGAACTATTTTGACTGATCTGTAAATTCTTTCTTCATTTTTATTTTGGACAATTTTATTGTTATATTCATTTATGTTTGTAAATAATTTATTTTCAATTTGTAATCTATTAAAAAATTAAAATAGGGGACTGGTGAGATGGCTCAGTGGTCTAAAGCACCTACTTGGAGCAAGCTTGGCAAAACACAGGGACCGCGGTTCGATCCCCCAGCACCACATGCCAGCCAGCCCCACCCCCTGGTGGGCTGAGCTGGCCACACACACACACACACACACACACACACACACACTAAATAAATAAAGGCACATTTTAAAAAATTAAAATAAAATAAATAAACGAATCTGCATAGGCATACATTTTAAATGTAACAAGTAAAGTTCAAAATAATTGGCTTAGGGAGCTATTTGAAAAAAACGGGGAGCAAAAATATATGCATATCTTTGTTTAAATATACATTGCTTCTCTCCATAATGATAAATGTACAGCTCAGAGCTGGATTGCCTGATAAATGGTGGGGAATGGTAGAAGTAAGGCATTTATCTGTATATTTTTTATGCCTTTTGAATTAAAAATCTCAATATACTGCGTATTTAAATAAGTAGTGTTGGGCTGGTGAGATGGCTCAGTGGTCTAAAGCACCTACTTAGAACAAGCTAAGCTAAGCAAAAACACAGGGACCGCGGTTCAATCCTCCAGCACCACATGCCAGCCAGCCCCGCCCCCTGGTGGGCTGAGCTGGACACACACACACACACACAAAATAAATAAATAAATAAATAAATAAATAAATAAGTAGTGTCTTTTAAAAAGTTATAAAAGAATGAGTAGATGTAGCGAATACAGGCAGCTTCTTTTCAGAATTGATCCTACCCCATCTTAAAACTCCATGTTCTCATCCGCAGAATTGGGAGAGCATTGTCTGCTTCACAGGATTATCTTGATGATAAAGCAAGGAACTATATATTGGGCCTGAATTAGCACAGTCTTAGCATACAATAAGCACCCTGGTTTGGGGCGAGGTTGTATTTTAAGGAAGGGTCTACGGGGTGTTCAGGGTCTCACTACTAGATTGGACTCATAGCTGGGATTGCAGGCGTGCACCACCGTATGCAGTCACAATTGCCGTCTCAGAACACCCCAGAGGGCGGGACCAGCACAGCAGGCCTGGGGATTGAACCCCCAGCCCTTGCGGCTGCTTGTAGGCGCTTAATCGGCTGAGCTATTTGGCCAGCCCTAATAAGCACCCTTTGAATGATGATTATTATTAGAATTACAATTCATAAATTCCGCAAAACTCAATTCAAATCCCAATGTTTCTTAGAACTCCTAGGTGGCACCAGACTCCTGGGTGACACTGAATCACTCAGCACCAAATGGTAAGATCTTTCCCCTCACTCTGTAGTCGTGCTCCACAAAATCCTCTACAGTCCACCAATGTGGCCTCCAAGTGACAGTCCTACTGGGTGGAGACATCAAGAACTTGAAGTTCAACACTGCTTCTACACAGGACAGGACAGGACAGGACAGGACAGGACAGGACAGGACAGGGCAGGGCAGGGCAGGGCAGGGCAGGGCAGGGCAGGGCAGGGCAGGGCAGGGCAGACAGGTTAGGACTGTTTGGAAGTTCAATGAAATCTATTGTTTTCCTAAGGGTTCCCCTTTCTGCTTTCATTCTCCCTTAGAAAGTGTGAGCCTGGGTGAATGGGAAAGACACTGGAGATAAGTGACAAGGCGGAGCAGTCACGAGGTGAGGAGATGGCAGGATGATGGGAGCAGGAGGCATGAAGGAAGGCCTTAGCGTCTGTCAGTCTACAGCATCTTCCTGTGTCTCCTGTCAGAAGACCTAAGTTTTCCTCCCAGCCCTCCCAGTTTCTCCATCTCTAAAAGATGATGTCACTGTTATACTTTTAGGATGCCTTCCAGGTTTAAGGAGTTACTATCTATGGGGCTACTGAGAACATCAAAGACTGTAAGATCAATGAGGTGCAAGCCTCATTCCTGTGAGGGCTGCAGTTCCCATAAATTTGGGAGGTGCAATAACTACTGTCCTTCTCATACAGAGAAAGGACATTGTGTGGGGAGGGAATCAGGCCAGCTTTCTCTCTCGCCAATGCCTTTCACATTTGCTGGAGTTTGGAAGGCAGCGGCTGTGAGCTGCCAGGCAGCAGCAGGATGAGGCAGAGGCTGACTTCGCAAGATGCCTCCCACTCTCGCCCCACCTGCTCCTAACAACTGCCATGCAGGAGCAGATCAAAAGCCAGAGGTCTGGCACACCCACTGCGAAGGCTGTAAAGTATTCTGTTTCCAGGAATACGAAAGTTTCCCTTTCCTAGAACAGGAGACTTTAAAGGTAAGTCCCTCCCAGCAGCCAGTCACGTGCGGTGTTGGCTTCCCAGTGGGTGGCACACACTGAGGTTCATTCATACTGAGCAGACTCCAACTGTGTGAGGCAGGCCCTGTGCCAGGTAGCAGACAGGCAGCATAAGATGACTGGCCTTCACAGCAGGAGGTGTGCTCTAGAGGACAAAGGGGTGTGGGGGGAGCTTAAGAAGGGCTGTAAAAAAGGAAAGCCTCGGGCCACAGAAGCACAGGGAAAGGGGACTTTGTCCATACTGAGAAACAGGAAGGCTTCCTAGAGGGGTGAAGGCTGTGGGAAAGCAGGGGAGGGTGCTGCAGGGAATGGGCAAGAAAAAGGGGGGCCAGGAAGTTGGCAGTGGCCGAAGGCGAATGCACCAGGAAGGGAGACGGGAGGCTGGGGACCCTTGCGTGCTCTGCAAAGGGCCTGAGCAGAAGGAAGGAGGACGCGGGAAGCAGCTTCCAGAAAAAACATCATCCCGTCTCGTGTGGCTTCTAGAAAGAAAGCTGAGTTCATGACAGAATGGCTGGGAGCGGGGACCAGGAGGGCAGCCTTCCTGGAGACTGGACGCCCTGAGACTGAATGGAGGCCGGCACAGAGGGGCGAAGACGGTGGATTCAGAGCTACGTGGAACAAGAAGCAACCCAGCTTTGCCTGATCTGACTGTGGGCTGGAGCCAAGATGCACACGTGAGGCAATACCTGTAAATTCATTAAGAGTGGGGACTTCAGGGTCAAGCCTGGGTTCCAACATCAATCTATTCCACCATTGTGCAACCGCAGGACAGCCATGTCATTTGATGCTTCGATCCTCAGACTTACCATCTATAAATTGAGAGTAACGAGGAATCACCAACCTTGTGGGCTGGGTGGATTAAAAATGCTAACTCTTGGCTGGGAAGGGGTGCGAAGGGCCCGAGGCAGGAGCAGGGCGCAGCACCCTTTCAGAACGGACACCACAGAGCTCCAGCACGGGCGCCGGCAACTCCAGGGTCTCGGCCCAGCGGGAGCCTCGGACAGGGAAGGACCTGCCAGGGAAGCACTCAGCACTGCTGACGCCTGTGAGACCCTTCTGGCCCCCTCAGGCTTTGGCGACTATTCCTACTACCGCTCTGTGGAATCGAGATTCTGAAGGGACAGATTCTGGAATGGAAAGTGAGTTGTCCATGGAAATAATGAAGATTAATGAAAAACTCACAGAAGCTCAAAATGAAGCCGTCATAAAAGACACTGGATCCATTGTCTGAGCTAAACAGAAAATATTTATTGAAAATGTGAGTAAAGCTTTTGAACAGAATGACTTTGAAAAACCCAAGGAGGGCCAGGGAGATGGCTCAGTAGAATAAGTGCTTGCCTGGCAAGTACAAGTGTCTGAGTTCAATCCCCAGTTCCGCAAAAAAAAAAAAAAAAGAAAAGAAAGAAAGAAAAATCCAAGGAAATTTTAACAAAGATGATTTAAAACTTAACAAAATTTTAATAAGTATTTTCAAACGTAGAAGAAAAGATCAAGTTAAAGATGACTCCCCTCAAAAAATAAGGACTAGGGGTGAAATAAAGCCCAGACGTGATGGCGCAGGCCTGTAATCCCAGCACTGACTGGGGAGGCTAAAAACAGGAAGATCACTACAAGTCTGAGCTGCATAGCAAGACCCTGTACCAACACATAAATTAAAAAAAAAAAAAAAGACGACTCCCCTTTAATTAACTCTCAGTGTCAAAAGTAAAGTACACCCCAAAAAAATACAAA